AAAAAAAAAAAAAAAAAAGAATACAACAGATACATTCTACATTTAGAGTTCCATTCCCCCAAGATGAGTGCCAGCCTGAACTACACTAGGACCTTATCTCAAAAAGTTCCTTTTTCTTCCCCAATAAAACTCTATAATTCCCAGTGTCTGTTCTTCCACAAGTAACAGAGCAAAAGTTATAAACATTTTTTTATGTAAGCACATACAAAAAAGCTATAGTGGTTTTGAGAATACCTAGAGTCTAGGACAGGGACAGAGCCATACACTTGTATACTCAAGATGTTTCCTGAGAAACATCAGCAGGTGTTTGAAACTAATAGTCAGTTGGTAGGATTCTCACCCTGACTAACTATATATGCTGATACCTGTGAACCAAGCAACTGCACTGCAGATAGCAATGTGTAATAGTAGGTTCGTGCTTGGAGTGCCTGTCATTCTGGTCTTCTAAACACATACTTCTTGTCATGACATTCCAATTATTACCATACTGTCTCACAAGTAAAAGGTCTTTTTTGTTTTTTGTTTTTCTTTTTTTAAATGGGTAATAAATGGGAAAAAAAAAGACACAAGAACAAGAAAAAAAATGTCACAGGACTGTCCTGCTACAATGCTGTATATGGTTGGATTTCTAAATTTCTGTGTAAAAATGTGTTTATTCCTATTTTTTTTCTTATTTATTTATTGGCACCATTGTTTTCACAGTGATTTTTTTTTTTTATTATTCCTATTTTTTAAATTTTTTTTCTTCATATTCTGTAAGGACTTAAATTTCAACACATCAATACTTGATGGAAGATACCTGTTCCACGTTATATATAAGATGTTTAATATTTAGACAGGATAGTTAGGGAAACCAAACTGCGTATGTTGCAGGGTAATAATAAGCTTCTCTTCTGGAGGGTTAACAACCTGAGTCTGCAGACCAAAAGTTGGAGAAAAGGAAGGGCTGCAAGGTCTGCCAAAATTTGGGCCCTAGCCTTTCAAGGTCAGTGAAGACTGAGGACATGGGAGAACCTGTACTGTAACATCATGTAACTCAGTTGTGCCCCAAATTTTCTGATCAAGGAGATTATAGAGCCACAGAGAAACAGTGTGCCCAAGGAGAGTCACATGGAGAGAAAACTTTCTCTCAGGCTTTCACAGAGAGCAAATTGGTCAAGCATTGGCCGTGACTCATCCACATGGCTGACACTGACAAAGGATCTACAAAGTGCAGTACAGGGTTACAGGATAAATCCTGAAGGGACTTGACCGACCATATCAGATACAAAAGTTACATTTCTTGTTATATAGGTCTTGCTTTATCTTGGTCTTAACCATCCAGCAGGGGCCAGGGAGATGGCTCAGTGGAATAAGCGCTTCCCTGGCAAGCACAAGGGCCTGAGTTCAATCCCTGGTTCC